GCGGCGGCGGCCGCAGCGGCGCCGTCAGCATGGCCGGCGGGTCGAGCGGGCGCGCGGGCAGGCAGCCGCGGGGACGGGCGCTCCGCTCCGTCTGGGCGGCGCCGGGGAGGCCGCGCCCTTTAAGGAGGCGGCTGCGGGGCGGGGCGGGCAGGCGGCCCGGGTCCCTCGCTGCGCGGTCAGCCGCGGGCCTTCCCGGGGCGAGACGGAGCGCTTCGTCCTGCCGGGGAGCCCGGCCCCGCCGAGCCCTTCCCAGATGACGGCCCGGGCGGTGCTGCTGCTGCCCGCCGGGAAGCCCCCGAGGCGGGAAGCCCCCAGCCGCAGCCCCCTCCCCGAATGAGACACTCACAAGGACTCGTTGGTGGAACATGTATCTTTATATGGAAATACGCACTAAACCAATGAGCTCTACCAGCCATCAATGCCATCAGCAGATTCATCACTCAAGGGGGCGCAGAGGCCTATTCTGGGTGGCCAGCAACTGCCCCACCCCACCCCACCTTTTGGCTCTCCCCACAAAGCAAAGGCCAGCCTCAGGCCCTCTCCCCTCCCACACCAGCCCCTTCCCACATGCACATTACAAGCAAAAGACAACCACGCCTTCATCTGCCCTTCCCACCTTCTCATCTGCTGCAATAAATAGAAAATCAGCAGTGCTCATACATCACAGGACAAGATTCTGGTTGCAGCACACAGCTGCAAACAGGAATGAGATGAGAGAATCCAAGGAAAAGCCGAAGAGGAGGCTGGTTATATAACCAAGTGGCGCTCCTGCATCGGCAGCAGATGAGCCAACCCCGGTCCTCAGCAAATCTGAGGGGCAGAATCTCTTTGGGGTATAACAAAGAAGCAGGCTATAGAGCGCAAGCCCCGGTGATGCTGCATGCTAGAGATTAGAGACCTTTCCAACATGGCAACGTTGGAAAACATGGAGCTTTCTTCGCGCTGAGATCGAGACCTCGCCCAAGGAAAATGGCTACAAGTAACTGGCCAAGGCCAGGATGTAAGAGAAGCAGCTGGCCTGCGAGGAAGCCACTGGGCGTGCTTTACACCCATCTGCTGATTCCCGGGCCTCTGGCTTTCCAAAAAAGGAACACGGGGCAGTCTAGAAACAGCTCCCAATAAGCAGAGATGGAACACTACAGAAGCACTGTGTAAGCAGCGGGATCATTTATCCCTGTAGGAAAGTAGCAAGGTCCCATTGAGACAGCCCCCGCCCCCCAGCTCCTATCCCAGGATGCCAACAGCAGAGCACTTCGAAAGTACAGATCCACTCCAGGAATTCTTTTGTGGAGCAAGAGCCTTGTGCTTTTGCCATACTGAAGCTCGTGCTGGGGGAAAGGACAGGGGCCGGGCGACACGAGGGAAAAGATGAGGGCTAGATGGCCATGGACAGCCTTGGGGGGATGCTCGGAAAACACATCCATGGCCAAGACCTCACCCATGAATGAGGAAGCCTTCTCAGAATGAAAGAAACATGAAAGCAGAGCGGGTAAGGTGTGGCTCTTCAGAGGCTGCAGCTGGGGTAACTTCTGGATGGTCACATACCGATTCCCTACACTGGGCTCTCACATTGGTATAAAATCACACTGGGGAACTGGGGCAGCTCACCCCGCTGCCAATGAACTTCTTTGCCACATCACTTGCTCAGGTAGAGAGAGATGAAGCATCTTCCTTCTTAACACTGTACGTTTAGGAACAAGACGCTTCTTCCACAATCTTACTCCACTTTCTAAGACTGAAAGGGCTTCCAAGGAAAATCTCTTCCAGGCATGAATTAAGGCATTATGCCTCAGAAACGTCTTCTAAAAACTTCTCATTACACCAAGTCCACAGAAACAGGCTTCCCTTCACAAGGGGCCTTTTTCCTGGCAGACCTGAAACTGTTGCAGCTTAACTGCCTTCCCTGCCAGAGACCTCATTTGCGTGACTAAAACGCTTGTGCGAGACTGACACGAAAAAAGAAATAGATGCCCTGGAATTCAGAGGGTAAGAAGGAAAGAGTGTGTGGATTGCGGGGAAGGAGCAGGGGTGCAATGGCACAAACACTTGCTTTTCACTCTTTAAAAAATGAGCATTCTGCAGCAGGAGACACCTTAGCGAGAAGAAACGTCAGCTTGATGCCGATGGGAATGACGGAGCACAGACCAGGCTCCAAGGCCTCTGACAAGCTGAGGGGGTCGCACCAACCCACCTGAGAGGCAAGTTTTCCAGGGAGCCGACTACCCCCCACCCTCTTCCCAGCAAGAGAACGACATCCTTCTAACAGAGATATGAAAACAAGCCAAGTTAAATGAGTTCACTCACTCAACACATAATTGTTCACATGTATCAAGTTGTCACATGTAGCTGTATCCTGTTCTGGTTTTTTTGTTGGTTGGTTTGCCAAAGCAAGAAAGCAGCTAATATCACTTAAAACAAAAACCCAAACCCAGTAAATATAAAAACTCCTCAAACAATTCCAACTTTTAAAGAAGCAGCTACTTTTCAGTTCAGGGAGTGGAATGTGAGTGCAGCCAATGAGCTCAGGCATTTCAGCACTGTTGACAGCCTGGACACTGAGGAGGGAGGAATGGTAGCGACAGCAGAACATGAGCCAGCAGGTTGCTGACAAGGATGCTCACACCATGAGCGAGAAACGACTGCTTCCGTTAGAATAAGCCTGTTCAGGCCAAGTAACCAAAGTGGCCTTTGGACTCCTTTGGCCAGCTACACGCCTTGACACTAGCCATGCTACCCTCCACCTCCCTTTCCAGTGCTAAACACAACACCCAGTAACATTCAACAATGGAAAGCACGTCGAGTGAGGATTCAGTAGTGCCATGGAAAAAAGAACCGGGCTGATGGAGCTGGGACGGGGTGGGGTGGGGAGGCTGTCAGGCCAGAGTTGCCTGCTTCTCTTCTGGGGTTTCCTCCAGCAGCTGCATGATGAGTTCATGGAGGGGTTTGCAGATCTTGGTGTAGCCAGCACCTGTCAGGTGCAGAAAATCGAACATGTCGTGGCATGAAATGGTGCCATCCGAGTGCACAAAGCCTCCATCCACATCCAGCAGCTGGACACCGGCCAGCTTTGGCAGGGAAGCCTTCAAGAGCTGGTTCACCTTGGAGTTCTTCTGCCGCAGCGGGTTTGGCTTCTCACCTCGTGGGAGCAGGCCCTTGAACAAGGGAGGGGAGAAAGGCATGTTAGCAGGCCCGTACCTCTAGGGAAAGCTCGCCCCCAACACCTCAGCCTAGCATCCCTCGGCACACAGACACCACCCCGCCCATTCTCTGCACATGGGCCCACATATGCTGCCTCTCTGGCAAGCTGGGACATTAGTCCCTATGCGTCCTTCAGAAGCATCTATCGCCACTTGTTCTTAAAGAGACTCCCAGACTCCCATTCTGGCTTCTCCTCACCCATCTTTTTTAGATCAATCTGTATGTAGAGAATTATACAGTCATGTAATGTAAAGCCTTCTCTTCTGAGGAGAACATGACCACCTTACAGTTGCCTTTGTGAAACAAATTATCCAGATGCTTACAAAAATTAAGCTGTCAAAAACAATGATTAAATTAGTGACTGTCTGAGGCAGACTTCCAGTTCCCTTCCTCAGCCAAGGTAAGTCTTCTCCAACTGATTTCCTGTAACAAGAGCCAGCAGCCTACCACAGCCCTTCTCTTCTTATGATGTTTCCATTCTTCCTGATAAAAAAGACATATCCAAAGATGCTACTTGTACGTACCAGTACGATAATCTTAGCCTGGGGCTGCCGTGTATTGATCAGTCTCACAATGGCCTCTATTCCACCAGCTACTTCCTCTGCTGTGTTTTCATGGTTGTTTGTTCCAACCCAAACAACAATTACCTGTGATCAAGGGACCATAAAGAGAGAAACCACAGTGATTTCTGCATTACACGGCTTCAGAGGAAAAGGAAAGAACATTGCATGATGCCTGTGTAACAACATTTCAATGCCCAGAGCACAGGGCAGTCAGCCAGCTCTCCACTTCCTTGCCAGTCACACATATCATGCTGTCAATGTAAGAGACGTGAATTAAAATAACACAGAAATGCTTTCCTAAATGCTTTAGCAAAGCGCAGCAGTGTGTGTGTGTGTGTGTGAGAGGGAGGGAGGGAAGGAGGGAGGGAGAAGGGAATGTTACAGGATGTTTTTTGTTCTTTCTCACATTTACAGGCACTCCTACCTTGGGCTTAATATTTTCCAGTTCACCGTTCTTCAGTCTCCACAGAACATGTCCTGTAGTGTCTCCACCAATCCCAAAATTCAGTGCATGTAATGGTGAAAAAAGTTCTCGCCATATCTGTAATGAGAAATTTTAGGAATCATCCTTGATCAAAAGCAGAGCATTTCAGGAATAAATCATTGATATAGTTGAGCATTCAAAGGTTTATTAGATAGGAAAAAAAGGGATCATTTCTATTCAGAATGAAGCAAAGGATCCATTCTGAGCCATTTGTGCAATTCCAGATCAGGATGGGCAATATTTAAAGAGTCTCCTGATCTTCTGGAGGCTTGGGAATCATCCAATGATGTTATCAAACTTTCTGGACTGGGGGTGGAATTGGTTTGCCTTTGGGAAACCTCCTGCTCCCATTCCTACCATGCAACAACCACTAACACCACACAAAACAGAACAAAAGTATAACCCTGAAATCCAGCCATTATGTTGTCAGTAAGATTTTGGAATGTTGCCTGTCACCCAAGGACCAGATGTTGCCCACCCAGGTGGCACCTGGCCTGCCCAAGATGCTTGGGCATCCTCAAGCCATTTACAAATATGCCTCCACCATAACAGATGCACAGAATCTTCTCAATGTGATAGTCCACTAACATATTTATAGTCCATTACTATGATTTTTTTAGCTAATTTAATGCAGATATTTATATTTTTTACTATTTTTTGAGGTTTGATTTTAATTGTGAGCTGCCCAGAATCAGTCACCCTTTGGGGGAGATGGGCAGCATATACCGTAGATTAAGTAAGTAAACAAACAAACATTGCAGAACAGGCTTTGCGGAACAGTCTCTGTAAGAAGGCTTTCCTGGAATGAGCCTTTACCTCCTCTTTTCAAATCAGAATTATTTATCCAAGGTTTTCTCTAGAACGGAAATTAGAGCATTTATTTCACTGTTCATTACTGATCAGCTTAAAGCCGAGGCATAGGAAAGGTACAGCGGTGAAGCCAAATTCTTGCTAACTTGCAAACAAATCCCACAGCTGGATCAGAACACGGTGCGCCCGGCCCAGCGTTTACGGCAGAAACCCCAGCAGGCGCAGGGTGGGCTCCTCGCGGCCGCGGGGTCAGCTCACAGCCGGCGTCCGTACCTCGTACTGCTGCAGCAGCTGAACCATGGAGTCCCCCACAAACAGCACGTCGGGCTCCTTGTCCTTGCAGTCCAGGACAAACCGGTTGTGCTGCAGGGAAGGAGAGCAGGCAGATCGACGCGGTCCGCGGGCCGCCATCCGAGGGCGACAGAGGCGGGGGGGCGGG